AGGACCCTTTTTGAGACCACCTCCAGTGGTGGTCTCAAATTACCTTTCGGTTTTTTTTCTTTTAAATGTTTGCGAATTGAAGAAAATGGTAGACGAAGAAGACAGCCCGCCAAACAACTGGAAGTTTGACCAGAAACATTTACGTTGTAGCAAAGGCCCACGCCTTATACTGGCGTGAAAACAAAACAAAACAAAACAAATTCCATCTTTTTGTCTGGTCCTCGCCCGTGTGACCGGGGGCACTTGCCTTGAGTGCAAAGTGTCAGGGTGGAGACTTCGTCCTTTCTGGACGAAGTCCGCCAGTGTGACCACATGGGGACCAAATGCCAAAAAAAAAACAACCAAATGCCTCAAATTTTTGAGACTTTTTTTTTTTTTTTTTTTTGACAACAAAGGTATTCTTTTTTAAACAAAGCTGGGAAACGGGCCTGGCATCCCTTACAAAATAGCGGTCACAGTGTGAGATCCCGGCAACTCCGGCCGGGCTCACGCCCAGACCGCCAAGACAACAACAAGAAATTCCAACCAAAGACTAGACAGTGGCTACTGGGAAACGAACCCTAACAAAGAAGGAGAGAACCAACAAAAGCCCCCCATTCATCCGCAACTATAGCCAAACCCGGCAAAACCACCCTGCCACCCGCGCGGCAGGGGACTACCTACAGTCTGAGACCCTGCAAAACCCACCCACCTCCTCGCGATTCAGATGCTGTTGTTGCAAACCAGTAGAAATACCCTACCACCCACGCGGCAGGGGCTGAGGCCCCGCGAAACCCACCCACCTCCTCGCGATTTAGGGTATTCCACTCCCCCAATCTGCATCACTCCCTAATGTAAGCCTCTTCGCCCTCCATGAAGAAGCCCTTGCAGAGTGATGCTCACCAATCTACGTCAATAAAATCGGATGATAGCAGAACCTGAGACCGCTGATAAGAAGACAAACGCCTATCACATCTTCAATAATGAGCAGAAATGCCCTACCTCGCGCACGGCAAGGATCGAAGACCCCGAAAACCCACCCACCTCCTCGCGATTTAGGGCAGTCTACTCCACCAATCTGCGTCAACCCCCAATGGAACCCCACCGCCCTCCATAATGGGGTTCCTGCAGAGCGACGCTCGCTCATCTGTCCCTTAGCATTCTAAAGTACTCTAAAATTAAAACAACCAACCAAAAAGGAACCACAACCCGTAATCTTGTAACGAGAACAACAATCCCTTGAACCGCGGACAGAAAATTAGAGAGAATCAAGAACATTAGGGCAATACAACCAACAGAGCTACAAAAGTCTGAAAAAAAAAAAARAAAAAAAAAAAACGTCTAACCGGTAAGCATAACAACAATGATCCCAGCAGAACCCCAAAGCAAATGAGACTTAAAAACTTACACATGCAAATCTCTCTCTCTCTCTCTCTCTCTCTCTCTCTCTCTCTCTCTCTCTCTCT